CTTTAGCTACGGTTTTGCCAACTTTAGCCTTTAGCTACAGTTCTGCCAACTTTAGTTTTTCATTAGTTTTGCCAACTTTTGCTTTTAGCTACAGCTTTGCTAACTTTAGCTTTTAGCTAAATATTTCCTATTTTTATCTTTCAGCTAATATTGTACAAATTTCTCTTAGCTACAGTTTAGCTCATTTTAGCTGTTGGATACAATCTTGCTGTTTAAAGCTGTTAGCTACAATTTTGTTACAAATTTGGCTTTTAGCTACATGTTTTTCTAATATGATCTTTCAGCTGCATTTTTCGAATTTATCTCAGGTAGCTGTCAGCTACAATTTTGTTAACTTTGGATTTTAGCTACTGTTTCGCAAATATTAGCTCTTAGCTACAAGTTTACTAAGTTTAGCTGTAAGCTACAATGTTACTAATATGCAGCTGATTTGCAAGTATTAGCGCTGAGCTACAATTTAACAGATTTTAGCTGTTAGCAACATATTTCCTTATTTTATCTTTCAGCTACTGCTTTGCTAGTTTAATCTCTTGGCTACAGTTTTAATCATTTATTTATTTAATTGTTTATTTCTTAGCAACAGTTTTGCTCATTTAAGCTACAAGCTTCAGTTTTACAAATTTTGCCTTTTAGCTAATGTTTTGCAAATTTTTGTTCTTAACTATAGTTTTGTTGAACTTAGCCGTTAGCTACATATTTCCCAATTTTATCTTCCAGGTGGAGTTTTGCTAACTTTTAGCTTTAGCTACCATTTCGCCAATTGTATTTGTGTAACACGGGTTTTAACTTGAACGGCGTTCTCGCTGCGTTTTGGCCAAAACGTCTAATTCTTCTAGTTGTCTCCTTTTGTTGACCGAGTTTCCAAAATAAACGCCGAGACCTCGAGCTGAGCCGCGTTTACTTCGGCTCTGCAGCGTTTCCCACTCGCTCTACAGACAAAACGAGCCCTTCTGATGAATTTGAGTGTTTGTTAAAACACTGACAGAAAAGGCTTTCAGTAATGCACTCTGGGCTCAGACAAATTTAATATCAAAGTATTTTCCTTCAAACTGCATCTTTTTAAAAGACAGCTCGGAGAATTTATGTTTTTTCAACATTAATTATTTATTGCGCGGCGACGAGGTATTTTCAGAGCAAACAGTTTCTAAAGGGAAGCAGTTATAAGGCTAGAGCACGTCTGACCATAAATCTCAGAGTCACGGAGGAGAATCCACTCAGATTAATAACTTTAATAAGCCATTACCATCGGCGAGTCCTTCAGCTAATTCCAGATCATCAGAGTACGATTCGGGCCTGGAGGGAGAGGCCGGGATAACGGAGGTGAAGAAACGCACTAAAGTCCTCACATCTTTCATCGGTTTGCCGTGTTTTGTTACCTGGGTGAACCGGCCTGCACATAAAACCGGTTTAGGACGTGACTCGAGCCGTTTATTTTCACGGCTACAGAACGGGTCTGCATCCAGAACTGGTACTCCTTCTCCAGAACGGGCAAAGCTTCTCTAAAGGTGAAGAAACAACATTTTATTACAGGACGGGGTAAAAGTTGGCGCTTCGTCGTTTTCCGTTCTGGAGGCGACGGGTTGTAAAGGAATCGGGCAGAACGTCACCTGAGGAACTCTTTATCCTTTGTTGCTTCATAGTAGCTCTCCACCATCAGCGTGAGGAACGGAGGCTGGCTGCGCCGCTCGTAGTAAATCCGCCCGCCGTTTGGAATGAAGCCGTATCTGTGGGAGGAGAAGAAATCTTTTATTCACACACAACACAGCCAGACGGCATTTTCAATTCCCCTCACTCTCTGACAGGAGACAACTAAACGCCGATGGTTACTGGTACTTTTTAAAGAAATAAAAAAAAGGTGAGCGAGCCTTACCTGTTGACGAGGTAGAGGAAGTTCTGAATCATCCCGCGAGTCGTGTTCGTCATCTCCGACAGCAGGAGTCCATTGATGACCCAGTAGGAGTCCCTGTCGGGCACAGATCAGTCCTGAAGGAGGTCTCAGAATGTTGAGGTCAAAGGTCGAACCGTTCGCTCACCAGTAGTAGAGCTCCCTGAAGCGTCCTCCAGGCACCACGACAGGATACGGGGTGTAAATCTGAGAGTAGAGCTCTGGATGGTCTTTGACACTGCTGAGAATCTAAAGAAAGTTTTTATTTTTCTAAAAACCCGCGGACTCAATGTTCTGATGTTGTAAAATCAAACCACTCTCCAGTTCCGTTCTAAACATCAATAAAAGAATTACTCTTGTATGTTTGGAGCCAGCGTCTGAGCATTGAAGGGGCTGGACCCTGAAGAGTCCCGTCAGACTCTCCAACATGCTGTCAATCACAGTGTAACATGGCAAATTTCTTCAGGCCTCAAATAATTCAAACCAACCATATTATAGATACAAATAAAAACAGAGCTCGCTCTTTTCCACTTGGGTGGTTCCACTTCTCTTCAAGCTCAGGTCACCAGAGGCCTGGCAGATTGAGGGTTCTGTTCAGCATCAGCTGTTCTTAGGACTGCGCTCTTCTGGACTGAGGTCTCCCAGGTTGTTACTGGGATCTGTTGGAGCCACTCTTCCAGTTTGGGAGTCACAGCACCAAGTGCTCCGATGACCATTGGGACTATTGACACTTTGACTTTCCACAACTTCTGCATTTCCTCTTTCAGCTCTTTCTCCAGCTTCTCATGCTCCTTCCTGATGTCAGTCACTGGGGATCGCTACATCTTTCACCACTGCCGCCTCCTCTTGCTTGTCAACCACCACAATGTCAGGTTGGTTAGCCATTACCTGTTTGTCCGTCTGGATCTGGAAGTCCTGCAGTATCTCAGCCCCTCCGTTCTCCACCACCCTTTGGCAGCATCTCCCACTTTGACTGTAGAACCTGAAGTCCATACTCGGCACAGATGTTCCTGTCAATTATTCCAGATAGCCTACTGGTACTTGGTTTTGTTGGTCCGCATATGGTTTGCCCACCTGCAACCTAAATCCTGCTTGTATGTGTTGCATTGTCTAAGGAGCAGCCTTGAACCGTTTCTTCAGCCAGGAAAATGTCCCATTCATGGCGCAGCAGGACTTTAAAATTATATTGCTGCGTCTATGGGGCCGACGTCCTTTATGGTTTCTAGTCCTGACTAATTATCCATACGGTATATCCATGTGCAACATGCAAATGTAGGTGTGCCATTAGACACCATTCAGCTGAGAAAACAAAAATGGCGTCATGCAAACTGGCCCTCGTTTGACTAACCGTTAACCTAACCTGGATGAAGACCAGCTGACGATGTCACGGCTGATAAAGTGTCGACTGTAAATAGCTTTTTGACAGAACGTCGCTTGGAAAACGAGCAACTATCTTTTTAAAATGCACTTTAAACATTTCATGTCAACTTCTCCATATGTCACTGTGGGACGGCTGTGGCTGAGGGGTTGGAGCAGTCATCCTCCAACAAGAGTTGGTGGTTCGATTCCACCAGCAGTCACATGCCGATGTGTCCCTGGGTAAGATATTGAACCCCTCATTGCCTCTGATGTGTGTCCCATCGGTGTATGAATGTGGCAAAGCACTGTATGAATGGTAAATGAAGGCACATCTAGTGTACAGCATAGTGTGAAGAGCTTGAGTATCTTGATAAGACAGAAAAGTGATATGCAGCAAGTACAGTCCTTTACCTTTCTGCCAAGAACTTTCCAAAGGTCATGGATCTTTCCCCCCCAGACTCGAAGCTCATTGTCTGCTATGCCATTCAGGAACTTTGGCCTACGTAAGGGGACCAGGTCTTGTTAGACACTAATGAACTCAAAGTACCAATAAACCCAGAGCAGGACCCATGATCTCACTTGTCGTGCCAGTCTGGAGGCGTCCACGACTCAAACTCTGTTCCCGGTTTCTCGAAGTTTGCGTCGAGGAACTCCTGGAGTTTCGTAGGTGGAACGGTACCATTTGGAAACGCGTTGGAAAGGTTTTGAAAAGCAGACAGAACGACTTCTGCAGACAGAGAAAATGTCAGGACAGCCAGGGGACGTCGATGTGTGACCGAGGTGAAATGTTTCTGTGACTTTACGCTCACCGGGAGCAGATCTCAGCTTCATGTCGACAAAGTATTTGTCATCGTCAAACAGTTTAGCCATCTGGATCTGATGCAGGATGGAGCCGGAGCAGTAGATTTCACTGCAATAAAAAAAGTGTTGGTTGTTTAAGGACGTAATAAAAGACCATTTTTATTAGTGTGATATAAATGTGTCGCAATAAACCAGCTGGAAAGTAATAAATTCATATCAGTGATGCTATAAATATGTAAAAAGGCCAAAGTGTCAAACATATCTGTAGTAGATAGTAGAGTATTGGTACATTTTTTCCAATATTTTTAAGGAATTGCTTGATCCTCTTTGCTCAGGCTTTCAATGTAAAGACAATTAAAACCATGTGGGAAAACATTTCAGTGACAAAGAGGTCCTGAAGTACTTTGTTCCTTGTTCTGTAGAACACTAAGGTCAACCCAGGGAACAGGTCCAATTCAACTTTAAAGTCAGTACACAAACAAAGAATCACTAATCTGGGCGTGATAATGGACCCTTCCCTGAAACTTAATCATGACTGTAAAATCATGTTTCTTCCAACTGAGGCGGCTGTCTAAACTGAAGCCCATATTGTCCAAAAATAACCTGGAGACAGTAATACATGCATTCATTACATCTAGGCTTGATTACTGCAATTCACTCCTGTTTGGTATCAGTCAGACCTCCATAGCACGACTACAACTGGTCCAGAATGCAGCAGCCCAAATTTTAACCAGTACAGGCAAAAGAGAACACATTACTCCAGTTTTGGCCTCACTGCACTGGTTACCAGTTCACCTTCGAATCCAGTTCAAAATACTCCTGTGTGTCTACAAATCACTGAACAGTTTTCCCCCCCCCCCCCCCCGATCTGCTACAACCGTATGTCCCACCACGTTCCCTGAGGTCAGCGGACCAGTTGCTCATCACAGTTCCAGGAACTCGTCTTAAGCGCAAAGGGGACGGGGCCTTCTCTGTAGCAGGACCAAGACTTTGGAACGAGTTGCCTCTGCTTGTCAGACAGGCCCCCTCCCTCTCTGTTTTCAAATCCCATTTAAAAATTCACTACTATTCAGTAGCTCTCAACGCCAGAGGATCTGTGTTTTGAACCCGTTTGCTTCACACTGGTTAGTCATATTTATTATCTGCATCGTTTTTATGTCTATTTTTGATTTACCTCATTTTGTATTTTGCTTTGTGTTACCTGTTGTTCTGTCTGTACAGCACTTTGGTTGGCCATGTCGCTGTTTTAAGTGCTCTATAAATAAAATGGTATGGTACAAGCCTGGACGTCATTATTTTAAGTCCTTTACTGGTTTAGTTGAACTCATTTTAGTTTTAACAAGGGTGGAATATTAAACACCAGAACACAATAATTTGTTGTGGATTTCTTATTTATAAAGGATCAATCATAGGAAGGAGCGCCTCAACCTCGGGTTTTTTTGAGGTTCCAGCTATTTGACCACTTTTCTAGGTGAAGTTCATTTAAATTGATTTCATGGCACAGACCTGTCTTTTCATTATAAACCACAAATTTTCCAACCAGATTGAGGTTGGGTCTAAGAAGGTCCTTCCAGAAGCTTCTGGTTAGGCTGCTTCATCCAACCAGAAACTGGTTCTGGTGTTTGGGATCGTCGTCCTGCTGAAACCATGTCCACCTTTTAACCAATTAGTTTGAGGTGAAGTATTTGTTGGTACTCCACTTTATGCAAGGCACCAGTACCAGTCAAGCCTCACGGCACAACACCGCATCATGATTGTTCATTCAAACTTTATTTAGATAAGCTAGTCTCATTGAGCTTAGCCCAATTTGCAAGCTCATTTGATGTTTTTAACTAGGAACTAGGGTTGTCCCCATATTTTTCCCGTACACGGAGTACTTTAGTTTTGGTACTTGCAAATAGTCGGCACCTAGAGTTGACAGGGAGTCTGCTGTCTTTACCGTTAAATGTCTACTGTTATTGCCCTTGGATACTTGCTCAGTGAAAGTAACTGGGTGTTTTTACAAGTAGGAGTATTTGAGGGTGGTATGGAAACCCCTTGGTTTTAAAGTAGCTCTGTAGAAAAAGATTCTCACTCTTGGCTCTGGCTGATCTAACCTTAGGATGTGGGCAACCATGAAGTCTTTCCACAGAAGTCTCCTCCAAGACAACTTTAACCTTTATCTATGACCTTTAAACTCTGCAGTTTTAAAAAGCCATGTTTGAGACTGAAATATAAAAACACCAACATTCCTACCAATGGCTTTATGCGATGGACTTTGTTCATTTACGCCAAAATAAAAGTTGTAAATGGTCATCGTGATAAAGTGGCTCTCAGAGTTTATGTAACAATGAAGTGTCACTGAATAAAGCAGGAACTTGATGTCACTGACGGTGAGGGCAAAGGTTCAACACATTTAGTTCCCAACAGAAGCACAATGTGAAGGTTTCTTTCAGGCAATAACTAAATGGAGAAATAGCTGGAGGCTGCCAAAAACATTTTCTGCCTATAAAGCCAAGAGGAAAAAATAAATACATCTCTAGACACTTGAGCATTTAAAAACGGATGCAAAGGCTGGATCTTAAAACCTAAAAGAGAAAAGTAATTTCTTACCTGTCACATGGTGGAGGCAGTAAACTCTTTACACAAGTTAGAAGAGCCACAAAGGAAAAGCAACAAACAAAGTTGTGCATCCTGAGCAACGAGTAGTGAAACTAAAGGAATGTTCATGGGGGGGGGGGGAACATCCCTTCAGCTGTTTATAACCAGCAGCACACTGCCCCCTACACGTTAAACACCCGTTTCACATTTAAATAAAAACACTCCCAAACAGCACCGGTACATTTCAGTGAGCTTTATTTACCCAAACAAAACTTTTGAATCCAATCATGTCCAAGGACGTCTGAACTTGCTCATAAAATTTGTGTCACTGAAAACTCTGCCAATCGTAGAATCAAATTAAATAAAACACAAACTTTGAATTCACTTAAATTTGGAGATTAAATCCGAGTTACGCAGTTCTCAGTCTGAACGCTTCGTTTGAAAACAAAATAAATCCGAGGGCAACTTTCTGATATTCTCAGACCCGTTCCCAAAACTTTGGATGTTTTCTTTTAAAGTGCCCTCTCGTCCCTCCCCCCTTTCGTTTCTTCTGATGTTTTTGAAAGAAATCCTAAAAAGGACTCGTTATCTTGACAGGAGTGTGACGGGAGGGCCAGTTTTCACTCGAACTGTTGCGTCGCATTCGTCAAGATAAACAAAAGCATCAGGGCAGCAAGCGGACCAAATTACCCACCCAACTTTATTTCATTAAAAAGACCTTAAAGAATGAGACAATTTGGTTTGGAAAATTGCTCAATTAGTCACCCAATCAGGACAAGATGCTCTTGTCTCAGTCTTTACGGTTCGGTAGCGACGGCCTCCGGCAGTAAAGCTGCAACCCAACAAGAAGCCGAACAGCGAGTCTTAAAAAAGAATCGACATTTTTAGCTTCGAGCGTGAAGGTTGTGACGATTACTGCCAGAGGGTCGACACGGAAACAGACAGCTGCCAAGTGTCTGAACGATGAGACCCCCGTTCCCTCGGTGCCGCTTTAGTTTAGGTTTTTTAAGTTTGTTAAATATCCCACCCACCGGAAAATAAGCCGAATTCTCAAATCAAAAGTGCGGCTGCTTCTGGGACAAGAGAACCGAAGGAACAGGGGTCAGAGCTCCAACCAACGAGAAGCACGGGTTTTCATTCATCGTTTGTTTTTGTTTTGGAGTTCTTCTCGTTGATTAGAACAGTTTAGAGCATCTCACCATAAAATAAGGAGGGAACCCAATCGGCGCCGAGGTCCGAGCCGAAGGTTGAGAACGTTCAGAGAACCTCGATGCAGATAAAGGTTTTCACGTTGCACACGAATGCAAACAAAACTACAATCCCCACAATTCAAAGCGACAGCGGGCAGAAAGAGGCCGTGAGCGACGCCCGGGTCATGTCGCAACAATCCCGAGTCTTGAATCTGCCTCGCCCCCACCCCCCACCCCAGAACAAAGGTTCTGCACCACGGCACACTTTTCTCCCACCTGGGATTCATGAATGTACAAAAAAAAGCAGTCCACTCTGCGTTTTAAGTGCAACCCAACCTTCTCGGGTAATTTTTCTTTTTTGCAACTTTTACCAAGAGCCGGCTAACTCGCAGCACAAAGAATGAAGCCCTGCTACATTTTTTAGATTCGGTCTGATTGGGTTTTTTTTTTTTGGCCGACTCTTCAACAAGGAGATTTAGGGGAGGGGGGGCAGACTAAAAACAGCTTCTGCCCAAAGATAGGAATTCATGCAGGTGCTTAATGGCATAAATTCAACGTAACAGCGAATACCCTCCCCCCTCCTTCTCAAGAAAACAAAACAGCCAAATGAGCTGCACTGCAGCAAGAAGTATGACTAGAAGACAGATTAGTTTCTTTACATCTACCAGCAGCGAGCTTCACAGGTGAGGGCTGGTCAAGACTTCATTAATTCAAAATGTGTGAGCTCGGAGAGCGATCTGTCTGGACTCGAAGCTCGTTAACACTGGTGGCAGGAGAATCACGGAAACGCCGAGCGTGGGGGGTTTTCTCTGCGTTATAGAATTGCACTCGCCGTCAAATTTGGAGAGTTAAAAAAAAATAATAATTACTGATAATCGCCTCCAAAAACATTTCATGAACAAAGTCATGCTGAATGCTTTTGCAAATCTCTAAAATTATAAATAAATTCACAGGCCAATTTTGCAGAATCAACAAACTGGCAGTAAAGGAGGAGCTCCTCAGTGCTAACGAGAGAGAAAAGAGTCGGCAGCTTTCCAGTTTGTCGGCCAGACTTTCACCTTTTTTTTTTTTAAAACAATCTTAAAATGAAGGTATATACAGACGCTGCACCCCATGTGTTGGTTTGCACAAGTATGGCCATCCATAGGAGGGTGAAACTCAGGACAAGAAAAGAAAACTCTCCAAACAAGCTCCACTGAAGCAGGAATCCTCACGGTGTTGCCAGGCCGCTTTTTGACGTTTAGTGTTTAGACGTTGAAGACGGAGGAAAGCTTCAGGGTCTTTGAGAAGCACGAGCTTCTCCTCCAGCGTCCGGACAGTCTGGGCGTCTCTTAGAGAACAAAAAAACATTTTCCAGTCTCTGCCCGCTGAAAACTCAAAGTTTCTGTCGTTCAGACTTCAGTTGCAGGACGCCAGCAGAATAAACTCAGCTTCCCTCCATTCCTCCCCCTTCTCCATTCCCTCACAAACGGATGAATCGACCCAAACAAGTTATGGATTCACCTTTCTGCTCAGACATTAAATTACTGTAACAATTCCTCGATCAGGTGAACGTGTGATGTGGGGTGAGATACCAGTGACTAATGAGGGGTTATTACTTTAGAACGAGTTGAACTGCTTGTTAAGGCACTTTATATGAAGTGGTTAAAACTTTCAAAATAAAACGTGGAGAATGGAGGGCGTGGGGGTCTGTGGGTCCGTTGGCGCTGGCTCAGTGTCAGCCGAGGAAATGAAGTCTCGTGGCGCCGATTCCTCTCGACGTTGTCCCTCGCGTTCCTCCCGGTGCTCGTGTCTTCAGTACGTTGCGGTGCAGCGAGAAAACGCCTTTAAATAAGGCAAATGAGTTCTTCCAAAAAGCTTCCATCGGGAAAGAAAAAAAAAGTTTCTATGGTGGCGTCCAACAAAAGGAAGACTGAAAGAAACTGTACACAAAAAAAATAAAAAGTGGAGGGGAAAATATCCAAGTGGGGTTGAAAGGGGAACTGACGGGGGAGTGGAGTAGACCGGTCTGTGGAAGACAAAAACACGACGTAAATATCAGGAACATTTCAGTGAAGTGACCTAAAGTTACTTTGAAAGCGCCACATGTGGGAAGTTCAGGAGCCGCTGGCCGAGGCTACTTACTGGCTCACTGTTTGACGTCCTCTCCGCTCTCGCTGTGGTACTCGGCCACGTACAGACTCTTATCGATGATGCCGGGGATGGGTTTGATCTCCGTCCCGAGCTGCTCCTCGATTCCTTTAAGGTTGAAGCGATCGTCGTACGTGATGAGGTTGATTGCCAGACCCAGGTGTCCAAAACGTCCTGAGGACCAACAAGCACTCGAGTTACATCCTGACCAAGATGTAAACATGTATTCAAAACAACCCGGGCAGGTTCTTACCGGATCTACCGATGCGATGAAGGTACGTCTCTCCCAGCTTGGGAAAATCAAAGTTGATCACAACATTCACAGCTTGAATGTCGATTCCTCGTGTGAAGAGGTCTGCATGGGACAAAATGAAGGGACGCGTCAGAGGAGGTTCGGCTTTGAAGGAAATTAATTTGAAGAGCTCATTCAAACTGAAGCTGCTAAAAGAAGAACGTGTTTTTAAACCGTCAGGAGGGGATGCACCGAGGACTCGTCACTGACAAGTTGATTTAAAAAGCACGTTTAAAACAGCAGCTGTTACTAAAGTGCTTCACAGTAAGATCAAGGAAGTAAAAAAAAAAAAAAAGGTATAAAAACATTTAAGGTCAAAAACGGGTTCAGGTGCAGAGAGAATCAAAGTATCAGTGCAGGATTAATTTTTATTGTGCTGTGTGTAGAAAGGGGGAGGAGTTGAAAGTTTGATAGTATTGTATTAGTATTTTACTTTTGTCATTTATAAAGTTTATTTTTCAACTTTTCAATGCATTTCCACCTCAGTTTGAATTGTATGTAAATCTGTGCTCCAGTCATTTCCCCTTCGGGATGAACGGAGTTCCTCCGATGTCGAGAAGCCAGAAATTCAACAGACGTCAGAGTTTTACTGCCAAGGACGCGACGACTCACCAGTGCAGACGAGATTCCGGCAGAGGCCGTTTCTGAAGTCGTGGAACACACGGTTGCGATGTTCCTGAACGGCAAAAAAGTGGGATTAGACAGATCCACCGCTGAAGAATGAACTTTAAATCGAGTCAGACAGCAGTGAGGTGCACATCAACTTCAGCTGCGTGATTCTACTCATTTTATAAAACGATAACTTTTACAGTTAAAAGCGCTGGTGGAACATCAAAACTAACAGCAGCAGCTTTGCATTAGAGCATTTATTTGAGTTTGAGCTCGTTTCTGTCGGGCGGTACTCCGGCTGACCTGTCTCATCTTGGCATGAATGTAGAAACATGAATAACCAAGCTGGGAGATCTTCTTGGCAAGAAGCTCTACTCTCTGGGAGGAGTTGCAGAAGATGATCGACTGGTTGATCTGGAGCTGGAACGAGTTAAATCGGCGTTAGCCTTCGCATGCTGCGATGTCTTCACGAAGTTCGAAGGCAACCATCAGCAACACGAGCATGAAATCATGCTGGCTTCAAAAAGAAAAGCAACACTTACTCTGGAAAACAAGGTGTTGAGGCAATGGACTTTCTGCCTTTCAGTTACGTAAGCATAATACTGAGTCACACCCTTCAGCGTCAGCTCCTCCATCAGGTTGATCTCATAAGGTTTCTGTAAGTGTGCATTCTGAGGCAGGACAATTTTAAATAAAGTTGCAGGTTTATTCCACAGGTCAACACGAGATGAGAAAAATGTTCTCTTGAAAAGGAAAAAAGTACCATAAACTTCTGGACGCTGAGAGGAAATGTGGCAGAATAAAGTAAGATCTGCCTCTGTTTGGGCAGGAAGCCCAGCATCTCCTCCATCATAACCACAAAGTCCTGAGACAGGAGCTTGTCAGCCTTTAAGGACAGAGATTAAGAGAAAAAGACGTTCAAGTCGTTCAGGTGTTCATTTAAATGTTTTTTGCTTAAGGAAAAAGGAAAGCACTCACTTCATCCAAAACGATCATCTGCACTTGATTGACTTTGGCTACTCCTTTCTTGATGAGGTCCAAAATCCTCCCAGGAGTGGCAATAACCACGTGTACTGAAAAACACATGAAGTCAACAAGTCAACAAATGTACTGAATTTACTTTATTCATTGTGTTTACATACTGGAAATGTTCAGTTAATTAAAATACCTCTACAAATTCAAATCAAAGATATTTAGCGGGTTTCTCCCAAGTCTAAAGGTATTTTGTGTTTTTCAACCATTTGTTGTCTGCATTTAATTCAGCTGCACAATCTGAGGTTATAAATGAACTGTATTCATGTAGAGCCTTTCCATCTTATCAAGATACTCCAAGTGCTTTACAACAATCTGTGCCCTCATGTACCCACTCATACAGCACTCTACTAGATCTTTACAAAGATTAATCAGAGCTTTATCACATTCATACACTGATGACACGCACTGAAGGCAATGAGGGGTTCAGTGTCTTGCCCAGGAACACTTCAGAATGTGACTGCTGGTGGAATTGAACCCCCAACTCTCCCATTGGAGGACGACTGCTCTAACCACTCAGCCACAGCCGCCTTGAGTATTAAAATACAAACCGGATTCCTAAAAAGTTGGGACACTAAACAAATTGTGAATAAAAACTGAATGCAATGATGTGGAGATGGCAAATGACAATATTGTATTTGTAATGTAACATAGATGACAGATCAATAGTTTAATCTGAGTAAATGTAACATTTTAAAGAAAAATATGTTTATTCAAAATTTCACAGTGTCAACAAATCCCAAAAAAGTTGGGACAAGTAGCAAAAAGTGGCTGGAAAAAGGAAAATGAGCATATAACAAACAGCTGGAAGACCAATTAACACTAATTAGGTCAATTGACAACATGATTGGGTAAAAAGAGCTTCTCAGAGTGTCGGTGTCTCTCAGAAGCCAAGATGGTAAGAGGATCACCAATTCCACCATTGTTGCACAGAAAGATAGTGCAGCAATACCAGAATGGTGTTACCCAGCGTAAAATAGCAAAGACTTAAGTTATGGTATAAAGTTTATTCATTTTAAAAAATACAAGAGATTTAAAATGAAAGGCAGCAGAAAGAAAAAATATATCTGCCCCCTTTTTTTAAACAATTATTTCAGACATAATAATTTTCAAGTAACAGAACAAAATTAATAACTTTATAATTTTTCTAATTCTAATACAAAACACACACACTAAGCTACTTCATACTTTAACAATTCAGTTTTGATCTTTTTCTTAAATGTACACATTGACTTGGCATTTTTCACATCACTCTCTAGACCATTCCACAATCCAACTCCTTGGATTGAGGTAGACCTTCCCTTCAGACTAGTTCTGAATTCTGGTTTGACAAATATCTCTATCTCCTTAAGATTATAACAACTTTGTCTTTTAACAAAATTCCTTTGGATATTTAATGGTAATGTGTTATTTTGAGCCCTATACATAACTGATAAAATACTATAATCTACTAAATCATGGAACTTCAATAACTTCAGTTGATAAAATAATGTGCTTGATGGGTGACAGTAATGCTTTCTGGTGATAATTCTTACAGCTCTTTTCTGTAAAATAAAAATAGGTTTTGTAAATGTTTTACACGCTTTCCCCCAAACATCAATGCAATAGATTAAATGTGGAACAATGATTGTGTTATACAACATGTACAGAGCTTTATCATTTAATAATTCCCTGACTTTGTATAGTACTGCAATAGATTTAGATATTTTTGTTCTTACAGAATTTATGTGATTTTTCCATGTTAGCTGTTCATCAATGATTACACCCAAAAATTTCATCTCATTAACTCTACAAATCTCAACACCCTCAATTTTAAATGGATCATCAACAGTTCTCTTTTTGTTACTAAATATTATGTATTTAGTTTTATCTAAATTTAATGATAATTTATTAAGTTTAAACCAAGTTTGTATTTTATCAAATTCTGTCTTCATCAATTCCAACATCCGTTTCACATCTTTACCCAAACAAAAAAAATGTGGTGTCATCTGCAAAAAGGACACATTTGAGGAGTCCTGATACATTCACTAAGTCATTCACATATAAAATAAATAACTTTGGTCCAAGTACAGAGCCTTGAGGAACTCTACACGTGATATTGCACAGGTCAGATCTTACACCATTTATTTATACAAACTGTTTCCTATCTTTTAAATAGCTAGATACCCAGTGCAATGCTGGTCCTCTTATACCATATTTGTTTAATTTTTCAAGGAGAATAGTGTGGTCAATAGTATCGAATGCTTTTTTAAAATCAACAAAAATACTAACACAATACTGTTTTTGATCGACAGTTATTTGTTCTATTAATTCCATGAGAGCCATTGATGTAGTTTTTTGCTTAAAACTAATGGATGCTAGTGATCTCCGGGCCCTTAAACGTCACTGCACCTCAAACAGGAATGCCACTGTCGAGGAAATAACAGAATGGGCTCAGGAATACTTCCAGAAAGCATTGTCGTGAACACAATCCACCGTGCCATCCGCCGTTGCCAGCTGAAACTCTACAGTGCAAAGAGGAAGCCATTTCTAAGCAAGCTCCATAAGCTCAGACGTTTGCACTGGGCCAGGGGTCATTTAAAATGGAGCGTGGCAAAATGAAGTGGAACACTGGGACGCCATGTCATCCGGACCAGAGAGGACACGGATAGCCCAAGTTGTTATCAACGCTCCGTTCAGTAGCCTGCATCACTGATGGTATGGGGTTGCATGAGCGCTTGTGGCATGGGCAGCTTGCATGTCTGGAAAGGCACCATTAATGCAGAGAACTATGTTCAGGTTCTAGAACAACATATGCTCCCATCTAGACGTCATCTTTCAGGGAAGACCCTACATTTTAACACGATAATGCCAGACCACATTCTGCAGCAATCACAACATCATGGCTACGTAGGAGAAGGATCCGGGTATTGAAATGTCCAGCCTGCAGTCCAGATCTTTCACCTATAGAGAACATTTGGTGCATCATAAAGAGGAAGGTGCGACAAAGAAGGCCCAAGACGATTGAACAGTTAGAGGCCTGTATTAGACATGAATGGGAGAGCATTCCCATTTCTAAACTTGAGAAACTGGTCTCCTCTGTCCCCAGACGTCTGTTGAGTGTTGTAAGAAGAAGGGGGGATGCCACACAGTGGTAAAAATGGACTTGTCCCAACTTTTTGGGGATTTGTTGACGCCATGAAATTTGGAAACAACAGATTTTTCCCTTAAAATTATACATTCTCTCAGTTTAAACTTTTGATCTATGATTTGTGTTCTATTCTGAATAAAATATTAGATGTTGGCACCTCCACATCATTGCATTCAGTTTTTATTCACAATTTTTTTAGTGTCCCTACTTTTTTAGAATCCGGTTTGTAACAAAATTCATTAATTCAACCTTTATTTACACAGATAAATCACATTGAGCCTCGAAGACTCATTTACAAGTGAGACCAGGGTTTGGATAAATATTTAAAAGAAGCACAATTTGAGTAAATGCTGCAAAGATTACCCGTTTCATCGAGTCTCATGATGTCATCGCGGAGGTTGGTTCCACCAGTGGTCGCCATCACCTTCACCCCACCCATGTGTTTGCTGACCTGGATACAGATTTGGCTGACTTGTAGAGCCAGTTCTCTGGTGGGCACAATGACCAAAGCTGGATAAAAAATAAAAAATAAATAAAACGTGCAATAAATGTTAAAATTCTTAACCTGAATCTCAAAAAAGAAAGAACTGGAGAAAAATAAAATGTGATAGACCCATGGTTTTATTGAGCTCAGCTTAATTTAGTGTGAGTTATTGTTCGTTTAAAACTAAAAAGGCAAAGAGTGCGACTGCAGAACCTGCAGCCACACAGTAAATAAAGGTGGAGCTGGTTCATGTGGAGACGCTGCTGGAGTTTCCTGCCACGCACTTTAAGCAGCCCAGCTGCATCAGATCAGTCTGGGTCATGTCTGTCAGCAGAAGGAAGTTGGGTTTTGTAATGTGATGTTTACATTTTTGTCTAGTCAGGATTTGTTGTTTGAAATGTATTTTTTTAGGTTGCCGTTTAGCACCACATTGATCAGTTCGTTGTGTTGGTAGTTTGGTCTTTAATTTACTTCCTGACCTTTGTGTCCGACTCTGGTCTGGTCAGTCACTTAAAAGTTCCCTTGTTTCAATCAGGGGCTCAGTTCTGTTTTAGTTCCCATGTTGGTACCTCAGTTAAATTTTGTTCTGCCGACCACTTTTTTGGGCCCAGAACTGCAGTATTTTGAGTTTTCTGTAGATACATTTGAACTTTTTTTTTTTTGGCCAATCTACTGTGTCTCTTGCTGGTATATGCAGACTAACAGAGATATGGATGAAGTTAGAGAGGACATGGAGGTAGTTGGACTGTGGACAGTGAGACGGAGGAGGACTCGCTGTGGAGACACCTCAACGTTAACTCAAAACAACAAGTTCAGAATTATGTTAACATGACACTGTTCTGTCTGGGACGTCACAATTATCCCAGAAAATCTTTACTAGATTTGAATGCTTTAACAACAGGGCTGCACAACATTAGGAAAATACTAGAGTTAAATATTGTAATAAACACGTTCAGCCTTTACAACGCAACGCCATCCCTCTGTCAGCTGTGGGCCTTTAATGGGGCAGGGGGTCCATCAGATTGCTAATATTTTTTTATTTTTTTTTGCATTTGTCTTTAATTTTTGACTTTGAATCCTTTGGGAGTATTGATATTTTTGCACATACATCGCAAAATCAATAAAATAAATTTTTGTGCAGTTCTAAAATGTAGACAAGACTTGAATTTATAAAACGTGCAAAACGGGACAAATGAATCAAAAACAACCAAAAACAAACTGAAGTTTATAGAGTTCTCAATTTTAATTATTCAGATTGAAACTCGTAACACTTTCTGTGGATTATAAAATGAGTAATCTGATTTTATAATAACCCATTCTACAGAAGAATGCGACGCAAACTTCTGTCCGAGTTTGTAAAAAATAAAAAAAAAGATCATTCTTAATTTCAGTAAAACTTGACAATTCAACTTTGAATCTAGTTTCTTGACAGTTACATGTGGTGCAGAATTACCAAGAAATGTACAGGTTTAGAAAATTTTAAACTTTACAATTCTACATCTGAGAATAGATTATTAGAATCAGATACAAAAATTTAATAAAAAGGAAGAACTGTCAATGTTTCTGATTAAAACAAATATTTCAAATCTACAGATGCAGCCTTAAAAATCAGACCGTTTACATTTCTGTCCTTGATTTGGAATCTCTTTCCTCAAAAAAATAAAATAAATAAAACTACCCCTCTTCCTTCACCGAGTGAGAACGCGTCAGACGAGCTCCTACCTTGTAAACAACTCCTCTTCAGGTCAATGCGTTCCAGTAATGGAATGAGGTAGGCTCCACTCTTTCCCGTGCCGTTCTTTGCTCTGGCCAAAATATCCCTCCCTGACAGAGCAATGGGGATGCTTTCCTCCTGCACAACAAACAGGAAGTGATCAATGTACAACCCCACCTGCATCTCATTTTACGATTCTTCATCTCTATCAACACATTGGACATTTACCCCCAAGGTTGTGTTGATTCCATTTACCTCTGGCTGTTTGGGGAGATCCACCCCCACTTAATCATTTAGAGGAAATAAACTGTGAGCGAGGAGACCAAAACTCAACTTTATTCCGTAGTTTAATAATTCTCAGGTTTGTCAACATCCGTGAGGGATATGAAAACTACACCACCAGCTGGAGTTTCTGTTATCTGACAAACGTCAGTTAAAAGTCGGGACTTCTGAACAGTTCAGCATGAAATTAAAACATGGACCAACAAACGTACTAAACCTAATGTCCCATGGTCCGTACACACCTGTACTTAAATCTAAACTCAAAACAGTTTGTATTGAACTTCCAGATGAAGTTCAATACAAAACACAACGAGGCTCTTGGGCCAAGACCCCCCAAGGATAAATCCAGCTCATTTGTTGAGTCCAGGATTCTTACATGTTGAAATTTAAATCTTTTCCAGACTCATATTTTCAATTTGTTCATTTTGAATCACCAAAATGTCCAAATTTACTGTAAGTTTGTACAGAAGTGATTTTTTTTACCTGCAAGTTTCAATAAAATAAAAAAAATTAAAAACTGAACAAAAAATATGGACAGGAAGAAAACGCTTTAATCTGAAAAGTCTTCATAACCAAATGATGTTTATTGTGGAAGAACTATGTTGCCACACTTTAGGGCTGGATGGGCTGTGACCCAGAGGTTTAAAACTGAATATGCTCCAATTTCATGTCCACCTGTTGTACCGCTGTAAACCTTAAAATGTGCAACTACAGAGAAATTTGTAATTCTTTAAAAATGAAAAAAATACAACATGGTATACGTCCTGATGTTGCTCAATAGTCCAGGTAGATAAATCTGACGAGGATGAGTCGACAGGTTCTTCGTTGAAACGTTTCATCTTTACCCAAAACACTGAGGAGCTGCAAGAACAACTGGGGTTACTGTGAGCATCACGCAGCCCTCTGAATAGCAAGCAGCCATCAGGGCGCTGCTTTGCGATTGGTAAGTGCAGCTTTACTCGTTTTTCTTCTTGGTTCTTCCCAGGCGGGGGTGATTTGTCTCTACAGTGGAGGCTGACCAGTTTCCCTGCTCTGTGGGAGGGATCGTAACTGGTCTGTTTGAGACACTCCACACGTTGTGGTTCTTAATCGCCCTATAATCCAACTGCAATTTTTTTTTTTTTTTATCTCAGCACCGCTTATAAATCCAGGTGTAGCCATGCTGAACATCTTCGATATCTCTGTAAATGTGCTCATTTCTTTTAGCGCAGTCCGTCAAAACAAAGGAAGTGGAGGTGCAGATGCAGTTTGTAGTTTTGCTGGACTGGTCATCCGGTGACGTCGCTCCGCTGGTGAATCAACGGCTGCTTGCATCAAAATCGGCCCCTCGGAACAGCCCGTTTGGAACCACTAACAAGGTGGTCCCATAAACCGAGCTGTAAGGGGTGGGTCACACAGTGAGGAGGCCCTGAACTGGTGCGGTGTCGTGCGGAGCCGAGGTGTGTGAGACTGTGACAAAGCGCCAATAATACAGAACTTCAGCGGAAGAGGTTTTGGTTCTACATGGGAGTGACCAGGATGGATAAAAGGAATAAGATCAGAGGTACAGCACAGGTTGAACTGGGAGATACAAGTTAGAGAGGCCAGACAGATGATTTGGACATGGCCAGAGGAGGGACAGTGGGTATACTGGTAGAAGGATGTTGGAAATGCAGTCGCCAGGAAAGAGACATATGGATGCAGTTGGAGAGGACATGGAGGTAGTTTGAGTGAGGACAGAGGATAAAGTGAGATAAGAGGATGATGAGTAGCTGTGGAGACCTCTTGAAAAGGGAACAGCTAGAAAAGAAAATTCAGACTTAGGAAATTTGAATATCAAATTCCATACTTTGCAAGTCTTGATAGGAACCCTGTGTCACTGGAGTTGAACCAAAGCGTTCTTGACCTGCAGAGTTCAACCTAAACACCCATCATTAAGAAGGACCTTCAGCTAGGAAAAATAAACAGGAGCAAGAACTCCTTATCAAATGTCAGAACATCCTTAAGAGTTGGACTTTGATCTTTAAATGTGCATAGTGAGTTTTGATTGACCAACTTTTTGATGCCTTTTACTCAAAGTGAAGGAACTGCAAAACCTGTTGGATTTTTATTTTTAAGTAAATTTAAGAAAATTAGGCTTGTGTTTAGAATTATTTTTATGTGAAAGTACCTGAATTGGAGATGGCTTTTCCCAGCCCATCTCAAAGATTCCCATGAGCAGCTCCCTCTTTAAGCAATAATCTTCAAACTCGTTGCCTTTAGTTGCAGTCACATCCTGCAAGCATCAAACAGGGACACAGGATTGGTCAACATTTGGTTCACAAGAAAACTGGCCGACGGTAGCAAGAAAATAAAATTTTGCAAACTTCAACATCCAAGTTAACAAGTTACAAAATGGCAACCGTTTAGTACTAACCGAAGTTTTAATCCTCATGTCTTTTGGGGGCAATTTCAAACTTTTCTTCCAGTCATCTCCTGGCCTGTGACATATGGAGACAAAGATGTAATCAAACAGAGGAAAACAAAAAAGATGAATTACTGTGCATGTGTAAAAATAAAAACGCACTTGATGACTGCATTTGTTGTAGGTGCTGGCTGGGCATTCCCGTTGATTGTGCCTTTCATCTGGTTCAGCTGCTGCTGGGGGCCTCCTCCACCTCCACCTGGGGCTCCCGCAGGTTTCACTGAACCTCTCAGCTGTCCATTCTGGTTGGACAAGCCCAAAATGACAGAGTTCTCCGTCCTGGTGGTGCTCATGTCTACTTATTTGTCGTTGCAGTTCTTCCAAATGCAATGAAACCTTGAAACAGTCTCCAAATAAGGTCTCAGCTGGGATCAGCCACGTCTGAAGATTTCCCTCGCTCCTTTAAACTTAAATATAGTCACCAAAACAAATAGCCTAAACCAAATCACTGGAACATGAAGTGTCAAGAAATAAATTGTTTTTGATTTTTACAACGCCTTGTGAGCATGGAAATTAAACTAGGGCTTCTCGGAGTTTTTTTTAAGGAATTCAGCACACCGGGAAGGCTTGAGAGCTTTTTAAACGCTGGCCAACTCTTCAGCTAGCCATCCTGTTTGTTCAACAGAGCTGCGTCCTTCCGAATCTGTCCAAGCCTGAAAAAAAAAAAACATAATTTGAGTTTAAACATTCACACCACATGGTCCGATAAATTAAAAAATATATATTATTATATAAAGTTTATCAGCAGCTACATAAGGCGTCGTCTTAAAGTCAAGTTTGCCGACGCAGCGGTTAGCAGGTAGCTAGCGGCTGTTAGCAGGTAGCTAGCGGCTGTTAGCAGATAGCTAGCAGTTGTTAGTCATTTGCCATCATTAGCGTCTTCAACGAAAACGTTTAGTCAAATGAGCATCGACTGCGCTGCTTTTGAGCTCTGATAATTATATTCCTGTCTCAAGTAAACTGCTCATTTCATTTCCTGCCCGTTAAATCCAACCTCTTAGCCCCGAAGCGGATAGCTGGGCTACTTGTTTTTATGCTAGCGCATGATGAAGCTAACGGTTTATGCTAATACGTCGTGGTCTCGAACAAACAATTTTAATGAACCAGGTTCATAAATACGCAAGGTAACTTCTGTGCCGCACACTTAGCGACGCAAGTTGTCTAAAACTAACCGTCTGACATAACGAACGACGGGTACACCCCGCTGTCTGATACAAGATAACCCCGGCCGATTAGTGATAGCTTCAGCTAGCTCAACCCGGCTAACGAAGACGAAGCCGCTTCACCTCAAAGGAAAAGCAGCTCGGGCCAGAAAAATAGCGTCAAATATCAGGCGACAACGCAACCACGATTCGTTACAGTCCGTCTGTCAACGAATTTACCTTGAATAAGTGGGAAAAAATTGGTTCCGTTTGCGGTATTTCTACTAACTGGTCTAACTGACTACGAAAGTCTTCTCAAACAAGGAGTCAAGATGTCTCCCAGCCGTATTTAACCCGCCCCCAGCCCAACAAAATCAGCTGATTCCATTTCAAATCAGCGGTTTTACCTCAACAATGCTCGGACAGAAACTAACATGTCAGCGTCTGGGATTGATAAATAAAATTTAGTCTTGACGAATTCGTTGTTTTTGTTAATAATACGACGAGTGTTTGAAGTCGATAGAGGCGAGTTTGGAGTTATTTGGACCGACACCAGTTTAACCAGTTCACCAGTTTAACCAGAACATAAAACATCCTGACCTATCTGACGGAACGAGCCAAGTTCACTTTAAACTTTAGTTATTTCTGCTACTTTTGAAAAAGTACATGTGTACGGAAAGACTAAAAATGACTTGTTTAAAGGGCAAGTAGGGCAAGCCGTTGTAACATATAATCAACCCACCCTTGTGACGTATGACGTACTACTTTGGGGAATAGTCAAAATGTCATTTTTACAAGCCACAATTCAAATGAAATGTGTGAAAACAGAAAATATTACATTAAAGGTATTTTCACTGGGAACTATAGTGGGAAAAGAAAAGCGTGTAAAACATATAAAATCCTTAAAAAGTTTAGTGGGTGTTTAACATTTAATGAGATCTAGTTTCAAATCTGAACCCTAATCAGCTATTAAATTTATTAAAATTAAATTCTTAATAAAAAAAAAAAAATTAAATTGTGTGTGTGTGTGTTTCCAATTGCCATAAACACGTTTATACAGTTTCACACATTAGTGGCTGTAGCTTCCTTTACATTTACTGTAATTCGTTTTAGGGTGTGCAGTTTCTTCTGCGTTTACGGTAAATGATTCTTTAGATGGCACAGCTTTTCCAGCAATTATGATGATATATTTTATACAGCGCAGCCTACATGTTTCTGTCGTATTCCCACATAATTGATTTTAGATGACTCTGCTGTTTTTAGTAGGTATTTGCCACATTTGGCCCTCGGTTTCTCTCTGCCGACCTACAGAGAAGTACGGACATAAAAGACAAAAATGGTGGTTAAAAATTAGCACGGCTGTCACCATAGATCATTTAAATATATATTAATCTCCAGACTTCTGCTAGAGAAAAAAATTTATATTAGTTTCATACTTTTAGGTTTTACTTGAAGACCACAGGACTAGATTAGCTCTACTGCATGTGTGAAAACTTATTTCTGACCAGCAAGAATTCAGTTTGTGACATTTTCATCTAAGCGTCCTTTTTGAGTTGAAAAGACATCCCATCAAGATCATTATTCATCCCTTCTGTTGTTTGCTAATAACAACAGAAGACTGAGAGCTTCTGATCTGTTAAAGCAGTGAAGCTATTTTCCAGGCAAAGAGGAATCAAAAGTACATTGTACCATCAGTGTATAAGTACCACCAATAAAAGCACGTGAAGGATGTCTTTAAATACTCTGACTTTGATCACTTGTGTGGAGAACCTCCCTGCATCTGTTTCAGGTCAAAGCACTGAAGCGTAGATCCACCTCGTGACCAGAGACATCTATTCTTCACTTCTATAACTTAATGTACAGATGTAGTGGTACAGCAGAAATATTTTCATCATTTAATGTTTTATTGTTAGGACCTGTTGTCATGTCTGTTGTAGCTTCTTCTTGTGAAACAAAAGAAATGACCACGACTGCGTCTTTGTCCCGTTTATAATGTGTGAATTTAACATTCACACCATTGTTTACCTAATTTATTATTATAATTATAATTATTATTGTTGTTATTATTGTTCCAAAAAAGTTCAATCTGGTCCTCTGGACATTCAAAAAAAAAAAAAAACAAAGCAAAAAAAATGTAGAAACGTTTCGTCTCCTGAGCTAGTGGGGATGCTGTCTGCTCTGTGGTACAGAGTCCTGATGACTCCTAACTTGTGCTCCAAAGGGTGATGGGAGTCAAACTGCAAATACTGGTCTGTGTGGGTGGGTTTGCGGTACACCTGTTTGCAAATGTCCTCTATCCGAGACTGAGACCTCACAGTCCAAGAAAGCCAACCTGCCATTTTTTACATCTTCTCGTGTGAACTTGATGTATTTATCCACAGAGTTGATGTGGTCAGTAAAATGTTGGACTTCCTGAGATTTAATTTTAACCCAGGTGTCGTCAACATACCTGAACCAATGACTTGGTGGTGTCCCTGAAAAGGACGTCAAGGCTCTCTTTTCTACCTCCTCCATGTACAGGTTGGCAACAATAGGAGAAACTGGAGACCCCATAGCACACCCATGTTTATGCCTATAATATTGCTCCCCATATGTGAAGTAGGTTGACTGCAGGCACAGTTTCAAGAGTTCACACAGTTGTTCTGTGGAAAGCGTGGTCCTGCTGCTCAGCGTGGTGTCTGATTTTAATCTTAAACTGACCACCTCTACTGCATCATCAACAGGAACGCACGTAAAGAGTGATGTGACATCAAAAGAGACCATTGTTTCATCAGTCTCCATGATGACATCCCTCACCTTCTTCACAAAGTCCCCACTAGCTCAGGAGCCAGGCAGAAGGAGAAATCCTACACAAAACAGGCTCTAGAGCAATGCGGATATCCTAACTGGGCCTTCCTGAAAGCAGAGAAGAAACCCAAACAGGACTCCAGTCAGCCAACAGGTGAAAAGGAGGAACCCAGACCCAGACCAGTGGTCATTCCATATGTTGAGGGAGTATCAGAGAAACTGAGACGTTTATTTTCTAAACATAACGTCCCAGTGGCTTTTAAACCCCAAAATACATTACGGCAAAGACTGGTTCATCCCAAAGATCCAGTCCCCCGGCACAAACAGAGTAATATTGTGTATGCTGTTCAGTGTCAGGAGGGCTGTGATCAGTCTTACATCGGGGAAACTAAACAGCCACTGGCCAAAAGGATGGCCCAGCACAGAAGATCAACATCATCAGGCCAGGACTCTGCGGTCTACACTCATCTCCAGGCCAGCGGTCACTCTTTCAGGGATGAAGATGTTCACATCCTGGACAGAGAGGAACGATGGTTTGAGAGAGGAGTAAAGGAGGCCATCTTTGTGAAAAGAAACCGTCCATCATTAAACAGGGGTGGAGGCCTCCGGGTTCAACTGTCCCCCTCTTACAATGCTGTGATTG